AAATCATGTGACTGAAATTTCTGAGACTGGCTGATCATTTCGTGATTTATAGAAACTCACCAGTACCTGAAACTAGGGAGATCTTATGTGATACAAATTTTTATATTATACATCATGCAAAATCCCTTCGGCTAATCCTATTAATTACGAGAGATCCACAAACTGCATGTAAATATAAAATTAGCTTAGCCGGTAAGATATGACCCTATATAAATCGAATAAAAATGAATCTGGTATTTTATTATAATATACTTACTATAAATCACTATAAGTCATTAAAATTGCTAAAAACGCTATAAATCACTAAACTGCTATAAATTATCTATATCCGTAAAATGGTTAAATTTAATGGTTTGAGTCATGTAATAGTGCAGGTGTTGAACAACCTGCAATATAGGTATAATGGTGAAACACCAGAAATATAGTGTTCTCGTGTTCATTCTCCATTTAAGAAACTTCTTGAATATAATCCAAAATACTTTTCAAAAAATGGATTTATCCAAATGGTTGAAAGGGAATATATAGATAGGAAATTTAAAGCTGGGAGACGCTCATTTAATATTTATTGTACTGTATGCGACTCCTTGGTAATTATTTGTGAAAATACCATCGAATGTGCTAATGATCACCTGAATAAATATATTACCGCTAAAATTCATTATAATTATGTATAAAGGAATACAAAAAAAGGAGGAAAAGTGGTATCGCTTAGTCCTGATGAGATTGAAAAGATTTATCTAACATATTCAGTTATATACAGTAGAGGCTTGAATCATTATGGTTATAATTATTCACATGAAGGTAGAAAAACTGTTGCATATCGCTTATTTAATAGTTCTAAACTTATTCAACAGGCTTGGCAGAGTTACAGAATGAGACCCAAATCATTGGCAAAAATAATTTGGGAGACGGTGAGGAATGATGGTACTCCTGATGATAAAAAGTATTTAGGTATAACTTCTCATATTAACTGGATATTTGATAAGAAATATCAATTATATTTGAGATTAGCTAATGTAACATATGATATTGTTTTTAAAATATTATACCAGCGAGGCTATAAAGTCATTAGAGGTTCAGATTGGTCTAACCAGCTAAAGTAGTTACAGAATCCTGAATATTATCATATTGATAAAAATAACATTAAATATCTCATTAGAGTTACAGAATGTTAGAAATATAAGGCTAATTCATTAGATGTAAGAAGAATCTGTAAGCATATCAGAGAATAAATTATCACACCTATAGCAGTAAAATGCAGTGTTGGGAAATGACCAGATCATATCACTATTTCTAGATGACCTTCGGTTATGAGGTTATATGACCATTGGTCATATGTCATAAGGTCATAAATTTTGTGACTGAATTATATGACCGATATGACCTGCAATCATAAAGTTATGACCTTGATCATTAGGTCATTTAGTATATGACCTAGGAGTTTGAAACTGACCTTTGACATTCCGGAAGTCTAAAAATAAAAAGAATAGCCATTAAAAAACTATCTAAAGATTCTTGAATATAGCAGAGTATGTCAGAATCGTTTATCAAAAAAGTCTTAAAAATTGCTGCGGAAGATATTGAACTAAAAAAAAGGATACACAGATGTTGATCTTTAACATATTATTATTATAAGATAGTGATAATCTTTTTTTTTTAATTTTTCTTATGACTAAACAAAAGAGAAGTCATAACTTTCAGGAATTTTTATTTTAGTAAAAAATGATAATAACAAATCAAATGCCAAAGCTGTATGTATTTGTTGTAGCCAAAAAACTGACAGAGGTTTAGCTATTGCGCAAGTAACACTTGGGTGTTTTACCTCTAATAAAGCAAGGCTTTGTCAGAATCACCTTGCAAATTGTGAAAACTTTAGAAATTCGTATAGTAAAGAGGAAATTACTGAAATTTTGTCCCGTCCTATTCCCGAAGACTTTAAAAAAAAAAGTAAAAATTGTAATGAAGGTAAATTTTAATAGAAAATATATTTATTAACATTAACTGTCATTACTAATTTATTATTAATAATGTATAATTTAGCTATAACTGATGACGAAGGAGAGGAAAAGAAGGAAGGAGAGGAGGAAGGAGAAAAAGAAGGAGAAGAAAATTTTAATTTACAAAATCTGCCAAAAAGACGAAAAAGTACTTCAACAATATCATTTACTTCTTCAATTTTCAGATAACAATCTATTATGTCTTATTGTGCTTGACCAATATCTATTAATGATAGACCAACATTTGAGTTTCTACTTCTTTATATGATCGTATCTAATGGTTTACCATTTACTTTTTTAGAAAATGAAGATATACAAGCTGTTTTTAATTTTATTTTGCCAGGTCTCAATTTACCAAATTGTAAAGCAATTAGTGGTAGAGTTTTAAAAAAAATGTGCTAATACTCTAAAAAAAAATATTACAAGTATTGCAAAAAAGATATTGTTGGTGTTATTGCAATGTTGATGGATAGACTAATGTTAAGGCAGAGCATATCTGGGGGTCGTTTTATTAACATCGCAAGGTCAACCACTTATTTGGATGCTTATGATATTAGTGGAGAAGCTTCTCAAACTGAAAATGTAATTCAACATATTAAAAATTTGATGTTTGAAATAAATAATGAGGGAATAAATATAAAAGCTTTTATATCTGATTCTGCAGGTGAATATACTGCAGCACGGTAATTTTTAAAACTATTTAAGTTATTTGTTTTTTTTTTAAAAAAAAAATTATTTATTTTTAATTATTTAAAATTATGGTTTAATAAACAATTAAGAAAGGAATATCTAAATAAAGTGTTTCTTCTATGCATGGCGCATCAAATGAACCTTGTTTTTAGTGATATTTTTAAAGAAAGTGTTCAATATAAACGTACTTCTATTGAAGCTGTACGAATAGTTAGTTACTTTCATAAATCTCCATATTTTACCAGAAATTTGAGGGATGAGCAAACTCGAATTTATAATAAAACTGTATCATTACTATTACCTGAAGATACTAGGTAGAATAACTACTATTTCTGCTTTCATTCTATTTTAAAAATTAAAGTCGCATTAAAGGTAATTTTTTTAAATTTTATTAAAATTATTATTATAAGATTAATTAATTTAATTAATTAATTATTTTATTTAGTTTATTTTAGCAAAATTCAATGAATATCGATCAAATGTAATTCGTACAAATGGTATTCCAAATGTAATACCAAATAATACTTCAAAAAAAAATAATTGTGAACGAAAATTACCTGATGATATTGCAGATATCATTAATGATAATAATTTTTGGTTAACTCTTTTAGAACTCCAAAATTTATTGTATCCTTTATATGGATTTTTAAATAAACTTCAAAAAGACACAGCAAGTTTATATGAAGTAATTCATTGTTTTGCATATGTAACAAAAATTTTTAATGAGCATATGGATTTAGATTTTTCAGAAAAAATGGTTAAAAGAATGGAAAAACGTTGGAAACAGTGGAAACAGCCACTTTTAATTCTTTCAATGGTGCTTCATTCTTTGTATAAAATTTCAAAGTTTCATACATCTACACCTAATTTATCTATAGTACATCTTAGTAAGGTGGTTAAAATATTATTATGAAGCATAATTTGGTCATAAACCTCAAACTATTTTAGCAGAATTTATGCAATATATAAAAGGTTTAGATCTTTATGATAATAATTCATTTGCTCAATTTCAAGGTCAATTAGTTAATTTTTGGGAGTTTACTAGTAGTATAGGACCAGAGTTAGCAAAAATTGCAATTAGAATACATGGAATATGTGTAAATTCAGTATCAGTTGAAAGATTATGGTCAAGTATAGGATATTTACATACAAATCGAAGAAATCGGCTGAAGGTTTGTATTTTTTATTTTTAAATTAATTTTAACATCTTTTTAATAATATTTTTATTATTTATTTACTTATTTTAGTCTAAAAAAGTTCTTGAAATGGCACAAATTAGAAGTGATATTCTTTATAATCGAAATATTAAATATATATAAAATGGAGAAAAGAAAATTCGTCAACTTCATATAGCAATACCAATTGTTTCAGAAGAAGAATCAGATAATAGTGATAATGATAATTATCAAATACTAACTGATAAAGAAGAAGAAAATTTAATTAAAAATCCTAGTGATAATGAAAATGAACCATTAACAAAAGAAGATGAAGAATGTTGAAATTCAATTATAACTGAATGGATTAATAATGTAAATCATGAAAATCAATTTGATAATATTGATGATGCAACTTTTTTTTCAGATTTAGATACAAATTTTGAATTTTGTGGGCGGAATATTCATCCTGCTGATGATGATTTAGCAAAATGGTCATTGAATTTACTTTTTATTCCTAATTTAGAATTACCAACTTATTTAGGTACAGATAATATATTTACTAATGCTCAATAAAAGCCATTTATTATAAATATGTTAATAAAGAAATAATAAAATAAAGTAAAAATATCATTTAAAATTATTTTACAGAATTTTTAAAATATATTAAATTAGTAATATGTATTTTTATATAATATGCCAATATAAAATTACAGGTCATAAAGTCATAAAGTCATAATACCTTTTGAAATGACCAAATGACCTATGACCGGTCATCAAAGTCATATAGGTCATAAAAGGTCATATGTCATCACTGGTAAAACGTATATCTATTAAATTTTTTTCTGTAAAATGGTATTTCGTCTTAATAAAATAATATATTATATTATTGTCCAGCTACAGTACAAGAAGGCATGTGCGACATAAATTAGCACGTTTTCGATCCTCGCCTCTAAATTTTTTCAGAAAAATGACTTTCACTAAATCATATATTATTGCTTTTATAATCAGTTACTTGCTAAAAAAAGGCAAGTTTAATCTCCTCAGTGAAAAGCGTGGCTGTATATAATGTAATAAGTAGTACACCGCAAATCTGTGTGACTGCTTGTGCGACAAGATATAAACTGTGTACATAATCATCTTTTAACTATGCGATAAAATGTATATACACGAGTATTTTAGTATTGCCAGATTTCTAAACGAATGTAACGAAGAACCGTTTCGGTTCAAAGTGGATATATATCTTAAAAGTCTCGTGAATATTATCAATAGTGATCAAGGGAAGAAACGTGAAAAGGCACAAGCTCTATTTGACAAGTATAAAATGGCATGTAAAAATTTATTATTTTTTTATTGAAACTATAGACGTGGCGTGATGGGAATTCTTTTAGCTTCTTCACCATTCAGGTCTTTTAATCGAGCCACAAGACCAGTGTTAGGGCACAGGCAACCTTTTAGCTTGGCTATTGTTAAAAGTCTTTTAGTCGATCTAGCATTGGTCCCATTTGAGCACAGGCAACCTTTTAGCTTGGCTGATGTTCAGATGGGATAAGAAATCAGATGAATTATTATTTCTTAATTACAAATATTGCTAATCACCCGAATATTATTACATTGCTAGGAACCTAAACCTGATCACGAATTAGCAATGAAGTAGGAGAATGAGCGTTCACACAAGCAGGTCCACCTCCATCAACCAATTATAAACGGGACTGTAAGTGGTCTGATAAATGTTGCATATGTAACTGGCGGAACAGTTGGAGCTGTAAGCGGAACTGGGAATATCAGCGGAGGGACTTTTGGTGTTGAATTATTCGCATCAAAAAAAGAGATCAAGAGGTAGATATATTTTTAATTGGGAAAGTGTATATTGGCAGAACTAATTATTTATATCTTAATCCTTTAGGACTATCATTAGGAGTTGCAGAGAAAACAAGCAAGAATAGACAGTGAGAATCTTCAACCCATCTATAACATTCAAATCCCTCCTCCACGTGTTGTCACTTCTCCTCATCCACCACGAACACCTGAACACCAAATATTTTCTTCGAGTTCCATGGTTTCTCCAATCACAAGAAATGAAAGTGACGAAGAAACTGATAATGATTTTGATTTTGATGCAGATAATCGAGGTCCCAGGAATCTTACATTCGATGAATATGTAGATGGTGATGACGCGAATGATGATGATGATCTAGAGAGAGTTTTCTTAGACGATTCGATTACCTTTGATGAAAGAGGTGAAGATAATTCTGTGAGTCTCTTTCTTTCTATCAGTTTGAATATTTCGATCTTTGCTAATAAATGTGGATTGCAATTTATAGTATATGTTTCGAGAGATTAATATCTCCGCACTATTTTCTTCGTACCGTGTAAATGTATGTAAAACTGCACGAGAGTCAGGCTTGTCAATTGAGATAGACTACCGTGAAATATTGTAAGTTATAACAATTTTAAACACATCTCTATGAGAATCATCATTGACAAGTGTTTGTTGGAAATCTTAGGAGTTTATCCCACATTCTGCTATTGCAGGCCGACAACTTCTCAGACCTTCAATTCAAGAGTTTTCCCGGGATACCTTGGAATTATTACAGAAAAATATGCGTAATTCCTATGCAGTGAAGACAAAAGTTCTACCAAATGTTAAAGCATTATCTTGAGAATATATTGAGGCACTATTACTTTATTTGTTATTAATGTATCAACTTTTGAAAGTTATATACCATAAATTTATATATATTATTTTGCCACATTAGATTGCACTTGATGAGGACCTCAGTTTGGAAGATGCTGAAAAGGCTATAGAAGGATCGTTTGCAAAATCTTTCCAAGATACCACTGATCAGAAGAAGTTTGAAATCATGCGATTTATTTTTTTACAGCTGTAGGTTAAAACTTACAATGCTTTTTTATCCATTCTTCCTAACTGTCTGATTAACATTATTTTATTTATTCTAAAGTGTTAGAAATATTCCCATCAATCCACTAAATGACCATCTTAGTGAAGGCACTTTGACTGTTAACATAATAAGTCTGATATTGCGTTCTTTCTTTCACAATGCCACAATACATCCAAGTATATGGCCAAACACAGCTAGTATGAGTGCGAAGGTCTGCAAGCTTGCCAATTTTGACTCTTCACGCGCAAAACAACTGGACATGATCAGCAATATAGTAAATAATAACAAATCTAGCTACGAGATGATGTTCAGGAAGATAACTGGAGAAGGCAAAAACAATAAAGCCAAGAAGAACAATTTGGATCTCATCAAATTAGGCGTCTTCATGAAAGATGCTCTCGATATACTGGTTAAGAAGATAGGAAAAGACCGGATTGTTTTTTCATGGCAAAGCATTGGTAATGATTTCTGTTATTTACATAATTGTCTTATTTTATTCGTTGCTAAATTGTTTATGTTTATAGTAACATCATGGACTGGCTATATTATGGTTTTGGTTACTCCTGGACTTTATATAATGATCAATGTTAGCCATACTGAGCTTCCCAAGTCTTTTTAGACCTGTGGATAGTTCATCAATGGTATTGATAATTTGTTTACATTTGCGGTATGTATGATGTAATATTTGAGTGTTTTCTTAGTTCAATTATTTTTTAACAACGATTACTAAAATTTAGAAAAAATATAAGTGTGAAGTCAAGAGGACTCGCGATGATATTAATCGAATGAAGGAACAAAAGAAAGATGATAGTTCTATAGGAGCCATCAAATGGTGTCAAGCTACGTTAGGAACATCACGATTCAAGAAACTAGTGAAAAGAACATAAATGTTCTTTGATTTAGTTACTATATCATGCAAAAAATACAATAATTTATTTTTAATATTAGCGTTAGTATTTGCTTAATAAATAATATCACCAATTTTTTTTATGTATGTAAACATATGCAAGCATTGTAAAAAATAAAATTTCAAATAAAATGTTTCATCTCATGGTTCTGATCAAAACAATATGGTAAATGGGATTAGTAATTCGCATTTAAAGTTTTGAGTTTACTCAACGAGACCCAATTCTCGAAGATGCTCAGGAATAACTACATATAAGTCTTCGTAATACCAAACATACCTTAGAGCAATACAGTTTACTTCGCATAATTCTTTTTTGAGTTGATCCCGCTCTTGTTGCTTGATAAAATTATTCGGGTCTCCTCTATGAAAGAATTCTATATATTTTTCGTGTTGCTCTCCTTGCACTTCAATTGCAAATCCATATTCATAATAGGGAATATTGAGTTCTAATCCTTTAGGGTGCTCAGGAATTTTCAAGAAATCTGGTCTGCAATTTTCAGATGGTGGACTAAGATACTTTGCTACAATTTCTCGACATAATTGTTCGCGTTTATATCTATAACAAAATGGACACCAGGTACCACTTTTCACATTACAGAGAGATGCTTACCATATATGGCCTTCTTTACAACACCATAATAGCGACAATTGATTATTTTTATACTTGGTTGAAAGGCATTGCCCATGTCTAGATAATGCAATTTGCTTCGCGTCCTCAAGAGTTAATTTCATACTACCTGCACAATATGGATACCAGCTTCCTTGTTGAATACTATTGGGAACAGCTTCCCATCTATGTTTATTCTTGCAAATCCATTCTAGCTTGGCACGTGAGTTATAGTATTGATCTGAAAGGCAATCTCCATTTTTTATTTGCGCGAGCTTACGCATATCCTCAATAGATTGATATCGGCCAATACAAAACGGACACCATTGTCCTCTATTTTTAACGTGATTAAGTGAATTTTGCCATTGATGATTAGATTGACATCTCCAGATAAGCGGTTCACCTATGTTTTATACTCAGTTGAAAGACATTCCCATGTCTAGATAATGCGATTTGTTTTGCATTCTCAAGGGTTAACTTCATACTACCTCCACAATATGGGCACCATGAATTAGAATATTTTAATATGATGAAGCGGGCTATTCCAAATATGACCTTTATGACATTTTCACATCATTGGAATATCAGAATTTCTATATGTGGTCGAAAGACATTTGCCATTTCGGCTAAGTGCAATTTGTTTGACATCTTCAAGAGTAAGATGAGCATTGCCTGCACAATATGGACACCACTTACCACTTTTCACATTGCCAAGAGATGCATGTCATAAATGGTTTTCTTTGCAATGCTACAATAATGGTAATTGATTATTCTTATACTTAGTTGAAAGACACTCCCCATGTTTAGATAATGCGATTTTTTTGATATCTTCAAGAGTATATTTTACATTACCTGCACAATGTGAGCATCATGTTTCACAATTTCTAACTCTATATAGTAGAGCATACCATATATGATTCTTAGAACAGCGCCATATTAATAGAGTTCTATTATCCTTATATTCAGTTGAAAGACATATTCCACCATGAGATTCGGCAATAGTACAAGCATCATTTAAGGATAATTTTTTCATTGTGAACAAAGATTCACTAATTTTTAGATTTAATTCTTCTAATTTCAAAGGAGTATCCCAGCCCAATCTAATCACTAATGGATCATCTATCGCCTTAGTAAAATCAAAAACTATAAAGTTCTGATTTTGCAAATGCTTTTCAATGATTTTGGATACTTTTTTTAGATTATCTACAAATTGACGTATAATATGAATAAGATCTTCTCTACTTCCTCCATTATTAAATAATGTTAGATGGGAAATATTTTCACAAATTATCTTTGGTACAGCTTGATATTTCTGAGTTATGTATATTGGTGAGATGTTTTGATGCTATCCACTAATGAAGTAAGGGACTATACATTCTTGTACTTTTTTCGATTCAGCACAAAGATCTTCAAAAATAACAACAATGCTTCTTTTCGAAGAGAATTTGCTTATATCTGAAATCTTTTCCGCCTTTATTGTTTGAAATGTGATATTCTCTCGATATGGTGCAGGACTATTCGCAAAAATGTGAATAGCATTTTTTACTAGTTCCCATTTAGGTTCAACATGCTTTCCAACTAAAATGATATGATCATTTTTAATATATCTATCTTTTTTCTTACCTTTAAACATGCGCTGAAGTTTATTGCCTAGAATAAGGTTTATAACTATATTAGTTTTCCCGCTATGTAAGCCTCCAGTAACTAGAAGGTGAAAAGGCCAATCTGGACTATATTTATTGCCTTTCATTTACTTCAAAGATTTTCTGGGGATCTCGTCAACGTTATACACAAAGAATTCCATATAGTATGATATACAAAGCATATCAAAATGAGAAATTTCAGTGAACTTATTTGCCCAAAATCATGTAAACTTTCAAGGGTTGAGTTTCGCTTCATCCAAGAATCCTTTCTCAATTAGTATATGTCTAATAAATAGATATAAATCCGCAGTATAAAGCATTTCGATAAGGCATATACCTTGGTCCTTACATATATCCCACTTTTTCTGATCGAGCATATTTTGTGATTTTAGATTTTCATTCTCCTAGTGGTAAAAGCTATTATAATGATAGTGTTGAGAATCCTGGAATTCAAATGCAAGACACAATTTCTCATTATATCCATCTAAGTGTAGCTCATCTAAGAACTTAGCTCTATATGGCAGAAATTTCTTACTTAGTAGATCCTCAAAAATATATCGAGACTTGCGTTTACTGGTAATATAGTAATATAGAGATAACTATTCGAATTTTTTCATGATGTATTTTAATGGATACTCCCATTGATGCATACCGTTTTTACAGGACTAAAGATAAATATTATGACCATTTACTCGTCCAGTCCTTCTTAAGCATTGACCACCTCGCTTCTTGGTATAATCAATAGCTTGATCTAGCTTGTTATTGAAAGGGGAAGCATATGCAATATGTACGGATAATATGCTTTGAGGTAGACGACCAACCCTTTCTGGATCAGCTATTAACATGAGCTCTTCTCGCACAAATCTCCACTTTGGTGTATATTCATCACTATTAAGATAATATAAAATTGGTTCATTCTTTATGAGAACAACTTTTCAGACTTTATGAAAACTTGGTGACCATATATGATCAGTTATGCGTCTCTGATTCTCTATACCACCTTCCCATTTTGCATTAGCAAGAAGATAGCGGACGGTATCTTCTTTCTTTAACCCATCTTGTCCAACTGGACGCTTATATTTTGTGGATAGTCTAGATTCAACTTGTTCTAAAGCAATAGCTTTCTCTGGCTCAAGTCCCTACTTTTCTGATCCCAGTTCTCGAATAAGACGTGTGAGATAATTATTTAGGTAATCAATAACTACTGGTATATATCTAACCCATGCTCTTATTAATGTAGGATTAGAAGTT